TGGTAGCCTATTAGAAGGACTAAAGTACTGAATAGACTTAATCCTAGTATTCTGTTCCCGTGGGGGAGGAGGGATTAGTCTGGCTGATCTAGCGGAGACATGTTTCCAATTCTAAATCCGACTCGTAAATGTCTTTTACTACAGACGTTTACGGTAGAATTAATGTGGCTGTTGATTAAAAAATAAATGTTTTTCAAACGCAAAAGAGGCTAACATAAATTGGTAAATATAAAACGTATAGATAGTTATCTTACTAATATTATAAATGCGAAAGTTTAGATGGATGTTAGAGTTTGTAGTCTAAACTGCTCAACGGATTTTAATGAAATTTGGCACAGATGTAGAGCATAGTCTGGAGGAACACAAAGGCTACTCACTATTGTTTTTTTAATTCCACGCGGACGAAGTCGTGAGCGAAAGCTAGTTGAAAATAATTTACTATTATTTCTTGATCCCATTTGAAGCTAAAAGCTTGTGATTTGTAACATGTTTACTACATCGACTTATTATGGTTTAAATACGTGTGTAAAAGACTTATCAATAGCGACAGAAATACGATTTAAGAAGCTTTAAGATGTGTGTGAAATAATTTATACACGTGTAGCTTTAAGCTTCTAACGTCGTGCATGTTAAAATATTTCTGAAGACATAGAAAATGTATTTATATTCGTTAAATTTTGTTAACAAAACCTGTAACTATAGCGTATTAATTCTTGTACAAGTCCAAAGGATGTAATCTATAAGCTCTAAGTATTAGAGTTAGAGCTCTAAGTATAGTATAATTGTAATAACACGTGGAAATGTTATTACAGAGAAGTGCTGGAAGCAATTAACCGCAGGGATTTCATTACTATGCCAATTAAGGAGACAAAACGCTGTTATTAATTCTCGTGAAAACATCGGAACTAAATTCTCAGGTGTACGCTGTTATTCCGTAGCGTTGTTATAATACATTTCTATCCAGTATGTGAGGATGTGAGAAACGAGTAATGTTATTGGAAAGCCGTATTTCAGAATTTCTAATCAGAGATCAATAACCTTAAAGGTTTTTTACATATTGTTAAAGGACATTCTTGGTGTTAACCCATTCACAATTTGAAATAATAGTGTGAAAATCTACCATAGTCAAACTAACGTGATTTTTTTACGTTAAAACTAACAAAATATGCAACAAATCTCATAAATCGTTTAAAAGTAATTTTTCACAGTATAAAACTGTGCTATTTTATTTAATGAACCCACTGTGACCCTTTCCAAGCTATAGAAATCCATTTAAAATAATCCACCTTTATGAATTACGTGACTTTTGAGATCGCGTGCGACTTAATATAAAAGCAATTCAGAGCCACCTTCAAAGCATTTTCCCAGTATAACGTTTCCTTTATACTAAAAGCTAAACGGTACTAGGGAATATTAATAAATGTATATTTATATGTTATTGATTTCATATTAGGTAATAACATTTATTGAATATGGAGACCGTATTCTAAACGTTTGACATTAAGTTGGAAGCGAATTAAATTTGACTGTACATTGCTTTTATTAAACAACAAATCAAAAAAGAAATCATCCTGTATATCTGAATATCTCTTGAACCTTTTCCCAGCTAATAAACAACATGGACCACAATATATCGACAAACTGCCGACGGGCGACAATTACTCCTTTGTAAAGCCAGTGTAAATGAAGCTTGGTTTATTGCTTTTATCTATGTAGCAAAGTTACAAGAAAACATGATATGTTTAAACAATTATCATTACCTACATAATCTTAATAAGATTATCGTAAACTCAGTTATTGCAGTATCAATATCGCCTTGGCTCTTTAAAATCTATGTTTAAGGAGCCAATGCATTCCGTTTCAAGTACATCTTACATAGTATCAAAACTATTTGTAAGGAATGCAATTATTACAATAAAATTAAACTTATTAATAGCTTCTGATATGTTCAATGTGAAACTCAAGTATTCGCGCAAATCTACGACGGGGGAGGACCTCAAAGAATTAACGCAGAATACTAATAACTTTTTTGGTGGTTTTGATGGTACTTGCCCTATTCATACCAGCTGTATATTTATCATCAACTTGCCCTTATCCCTTACGGAGGGTCGGCACAATATGTGCTGCTCTTCCATACGTGTCTATCAGCCGTCATATCTGAATCCACTCCTTTAGCGTATCCTCTTTCACACAATCCATCCATACTTTCTTCGGTCTTTCTCTACCTTTGTAGCCATTCAATCTTAACACATACCCGCTGTATATTTAACTGATATTTTCTTTGTTACAAATTTGCCCATAAATTACCTACGAAAACTTGTTTATTCATTATATCTTGAATTCAGACAAGCTTAAGTAAAATATAGTCTTGCGGCGCGATGTCGCAGCGGCGGGAGGTTGGGTTCAATAAGACTGGGTTCAGGAACGTGGCTTGCACGTTAAGTAAGCCACTGCGGGCACCACAACAGGAACCAACCCATGTTTGTCTATAATGTCTCGTTCAAAAATGGATATTTTTGTTTTGACAAATAGTAGTATGGCAATATAAGCAATTTTTAAAGAAACGCGTGCGTTGCTAAACTATTATTATACTATTCTTGTTATATTCCGCTATAAGTAAAATTATGGAATGTTTCTCTAGCTTCTCCTGTCTTACTGGGTTGACTAAAGGGATTACTGATAGCAATAAGGTCGCCCTTGCGCAAATTTCGTAGCTTAGTTTTAGTTTTCTATAGTAATATTTGTTCAAAAAGAATTAAATAATATTATGGAATAAAATCTGATGTGTATCCGACTAATGTACGGTCATTGCAATGTCCCATGTTACATAGCTCCTCATATTCAGAATATATCATTACTGGCATCCTTTCATTACACGATAGCGTAATCATAGGATGCGAACATTCACCAGACGTCAAATATTGACGATTTCAGTCTGAAGCAGGCACTCGCAAGTTACTGTTTGAATAAATTTTGGTTAAGTTTAAATTGCTATCGATAGGAACAGATTGAAATGTTCTATAGAGTAAAGCGGTATCTAGTATGGCTAATGCATGTAGATCTAACAAACTGTAAAATCTATTCGATTTATGTGCAATACTAGCTTTCGCTCGCGACTCCGTCTGCGTGGGATTAAGTGAGAAGCCTATGTGTTTTCCAGACTATCCTCTACATCTATACCAAATTTCGAAATCCGTTTAGTCGTTTAGGCTACAAACTCTAACAAACATCCATCCATCTATCTAAATATTCGCAGTCATTATATTAGTATGAAAGTATGAAGTATAATTAATGATTTAAAACTGGTACATGTACCTTGGATATTTGGTTTACTTTTTTGTTTATAAAAATAATGTTGTTGATATCGTTGCACAAAAGCTAAATCGGTTTGCGTTTTATAGTATTTTATCAAGGAAATTTTTGTTAAAAGTAAATGTTGTAGGAGCAGCAATGTATAGCAGTGTATCAAGGGGCGAGCAATCAATTTGGTATCCTTTGCATGATATAACGATGTTATATCGGGCTTCATTACTCGCTCCGATATTCCCTCGAAACGATATCGCAGCTGCTCCTTTATACAGCAGCTTCTGCATCAACGAGTTTGTCTTTCCTGTATCTAGAAATTGATTGGATGTGGACAAAGGTGCAGTTGATTGTTTCTAGAATTAATTGAATATTCAATACCACTTATTGATATTGTCGTTGTACGAACAAAGATTGCTTTTCAATTACAAGCATGTGTAAATTCTGCTTTTTTATTGTTGGCGTTTACTGAATTGTTTTCATGCAAGTTACTTTTTGTCAAAAAAGAAACCTTACAATAAGGTTTGTGAACAACGGTCACGCATTCAAATTTGTCGAACTCGTCGTTTTTGTTTTCGTATTTTTTGTGACTTTTAGGTTCAATTTAAATTTATAATCCGTGTATTTTAAATTATAATCATACTAGATACATTTTTTTAAACATAGATTAGAATCAAGGGTGTTATCCCTGCATCAGTTATCTGGATTATCGAATACGAACAGTACCCTTTTGAACGGACTCAACTTTAAGTTCCCGTTCAATGCTGTCGCAAGCCGGTGCATTGCGAGTTGAGCGAGCACTTAATTAGAGCACGCTCTGAGCCGAGGTGTGAGTTAGTGCTTACAGACGATTACCGGCTTTAATGTCGCTCACACCGCTTGCGTAAGTTCCAACTCTTTGTAATACTATGGCTATTATAATCATTCTTACAATAAGACCTTTGTAACGTTGCTGAAAGATGCTCTTTTTTGCATATCACATTCCCGACTATGGTCTACTAATTTTGTAGACATATTTGCACAGATAAAGGTAGTTTAATGTAGAATTTAATTTATAGAAAAATATATCAGAAATGATTGTAATAGTTGCAAAATATAATCACAAGGTAAATTCTGTTTTATCGGAGAGGACACTTTATGTTGTGCCAATATCAGATTGGTATAAGGTTGTTATGGACAGTCGCCTGCAACGCTCTACCGATACTCTACCTCAATATTCTACCCACTGTAAGTGACATTCATTTTTAAAGATTTATTGCTTGCTGAACGTGACTGTACACAAAACGTGCCTCTCTTTGAGCCACGTGAGAAAATCGTTCAAACGCTATTGGTTTTCAGATGAATGAATAAATTACATTTTGATACAAAGTCAAGCCAATATGTTATTTTATTAGTATTTTTACTAATGATGAAATTACTGTTTGTATGTTAGTTTATATAGCAAGCTGGTCTATGAGTTGTTCAAATAAAAGCTTTTTCCCAAGCTCGGTGTAAGGGTGGCGTCAGCAAATAGACTCATTGTTATTTATGATATACCTAGCGCCGGTTTATTCCCTTCCGTCTGGTTCCTCGACCTTTGTCGACGTGAAATATGAGTTTTTCATTTGTTACAAATGCCGTCTAAAATAATATATTTCAAATATTTTAATATTAAATATCTTTTACTCATCTAATCTTATATCTTTTCTTCTTTACAGATAAACGTCGGATTACATTTCCCGCAATAACAAAAGACATTATTTCTTCTTCTATCTTGTAAGTATGATATTTTTACATAAATTAATAAAACACATAATTCATTAACGTCAATATGAATATACTAATGTTTATGGCCGTATACTGAAACGAATCTTTAACACTTCGCTTCGTAAGCGCCTCGTACAAAGTCAACATTTAACGGAATTTGGAATTTAATCGTAACCTTATCATTTAGAAGCTTTTTACATATTTAAATGTCCTTTTAGTATTCGGCCATTACTTTACTAATTCCCTATGTATTTTGCATTAAAAATACACAAGATTTATTCTATATCAGTGCTAGTTAAATCTATACTATTATAATAAAGCGTAAACACACACTTCTACGTTGCCTAGGATGTCAGTAATTATAGCATTTTTTGAATGATTCCTTTTTTAATAAAAATCCCAACACTTACGTCACGCTTTATGATACATTGTTTCACGCTATTAAACTTAGGGGTAAATAAATTGGATAAAAACCTTGATGTGGGAAAGCTACGAGCTGCCAACATCGAGAAAGCAAGGTTGCCATGGTTTGTCATGATGTCATGTAATTTTGACATTTGCAATTGATTATTTGTCAAATGTAAGCATTAAAATAAAATTTTCTAAATTGCATGCGAATGAAGCCGAACGGGAACAGCTAGTTATTAATAACTAAGCATACTCTACCGCGCATCGCAACGTCTCTTTGACGATTAAATTTCCTATTAAACCAGGTAAGCCGGTATAAGCTCTCAAACACTCTGACACACACGAGAGATAAATAGATTTCATAATAGTAAAACACTAGCTGTTCCCGTGCGGCATCATCCGCTTGAAATTATAAAAAAATTATGTTATTGTTTACATTTTTCAAATTATCAATAGCAAATGTCAAACTGACATGACATGATGGTAAAGCATGGCAACCTTGATTCCTTGATGATGGCAGCAACTTATGGTCTCTTTCCCATAATTAGGCTTTTGTTCAAAATATTTACCCCTTAAGTTTAATGGCATGAAAATATATAGCCTAAAGCGTGACGTAACTGTAGGGCTTTTTATTAAAAAAAGAATTATTCAAAAATATGCTGTTATTGCTGAGAATTTAGACAACAAAGAAGTGTGTGTTTTTACGCTTTATTATAATATTAGCTTATTTAATTATTACTTATGGTGTTGTTACAAGTGAGGATACTGTGGAGTTAATTCACTCAATTGACTTTATATTATTTGAAGAAATTCAGCAAATCTGTACTAAAATTATAAAGAGGAAAGATTTGTATTTTTGTAGGTGTTCCAATAAGAAAAAAACTACTAGGCCGATTTAAATTCTTTCACCGTTATATTACAGCAATTTTAATTTTCGCTCATATTGTTTTGGCAATATCACGCTGTTATTTATTGATGAAAATGTTTTATTTTCATTTCATTCGTTTTGAATTTGTTTGATAAAAATACTATAAGGTCTATTCCTTCATTTCTCAGGAACTCGTACTGTAGTTAATACATACATACTCTGATAATAAATGTTATATGCTACCATGTAATGTATGAAACACTCAACAAATGTCTATCAACCTTGATATGTAGTTACCAACACATTTTGTCTCGATCTCGTCGGCGGAATAACTGGATTATTCCTTTATTGTTATAATTAAAGATCTCTCGTTTGTAGACAAGATTATTTTGTCAAGAATAGGTACAGATAATTATTAATATTATACCTAAACGAATACAAGGTGTTAAGTTGTGGAAATTATTAGCGTTCGCCCACGACTCCGTCCAGGTGAAATAAAAAAAACAAAAGTGAATAGACTATGTATTCTTTGAGACTATCCTCTACATCTGTACCAAATTTCATCGAAATCCGTTCAACCGTTTAGGCTACAAACTCTAACAAACATCCATTCATCCATCTAAATTTTCGCATTTATAACATTAGTATGAGTATGAAGTATGATTGATAATGGACGATAAAATAATGAATTTTCGATGTTTTAAAATCATTTCGTTTTCCACATGTATAGAACATGAAACACGCTATAAAATTGACGGGAAATAAACGTTTTGCAAAAGGAAATAGCCGTTTTATGTGTATTTTAAAATGGTTTAAATCAGTGTTTGAAAATTAAAACAAAAGACCGTGATTATTATATTTATTTAAGTCTTTTTTATTAATAGACAATAACCGAAAACTACCATAACTTAAAAAAAAACGAAAAATATTGTACCTATCATAAAAGTTGAGGATATTTAAGTTACCAGTCGAAATAAACGTTGTTTAAAAATCCAGCTATTAAAAACTATCTTTTATAACTAGTTCTTTAAACTACTTTTCAGCCTAAAGTTTTCAAACTAGCCGCAATCGCGACGACTGTGAAATTGAAAAATTTGTTGCTACTAAAGTGCTTAAAGTTTTCAAAGTAGCATGTGGTTTCTAAGGAAAAACCGAACGGATTTATGTTTTTTTTTTATAATACATGGTGGCAAACGAGCAAGCGGCCACCTGAATCCATCGAAATGGAAAGCGACCGCTACCCATAGACATCCGCAATTGCAGATGCGTTGCCTACCCTTAATTGACGGAGGAGGAGACGCACATAACGAGGACATTTCTCCTTCCTATGCGTCTCCTCCACCGTCAAATCCACTTTTCCTTCCCATACTTTCCTCTTAAGAAAGGGGTGGAAAGAGAAAGGGACTAAAATTAGGCCTTCGGCACCACACTCATCAGACGAAACGTGGAATTGCTTCCACTTCACGCCTGTTTTCTGTGTGGTCGTGGTATTCCACCGGGCGAGCCGGCCCATTTGTGCGAAGATGTTAAAGCGGGCTCTTTCACAGTTAAAGTGTGATTAGAAACAGATAACGAGAATAAATATTGTAAAGTTGATAGTTATTTCACGAACCACCAACAGTCAATAGCAAAATACATTTAGAAATGCATTCATTAATTGTATGCCATTCTTAGATTTGTAGTTTTAGACTTAGAACGATATGTTTTAACTAAAAGTACTATTTTATTTCTCCTATGTATCTGAAAGTAATCTAACTTGGCGTTTTTAAGTATAGCCTAACTTACATAAAAGCAAATGTTAATCGCTGAACTTTACAGCGCATAATGAAGTGGGGCTCGACATTTTGCAAAGGCTCGGGACTGCGCATTTTGTTTGCGATTATGCCAGACTCGTCCTCTTCGATAATGATGGAATATTTTATGCATGTAATTTTTTGTAATAGTCCATCTACTATTATAATAAAGCGTAAACACACACTTCTTTGTTGCCTAAGATGTCAGCAATTACAACATATTTTTGAATAATTCTTTTTTTAATAAAAAGCCCTACACTTATTTCACGATATAGGTTATGTATTTTAACGCCATTAAACTTAGGGGGTAAATATTTAGGATAAAAACCCTAATGTGGGTAAGAGACCATAAGTTGCTGCCAACATCAAGGAAGCAAGTCATGTCATTTAGACATTTGCAATTGATAATTTGACAAATGGAAACAATAAATAAAAGTTTTTATAATTTCATGCGGGTGAAGCCGCACGGGAACAACTAGTTTTATTATAATAATCCATTGAAGATATTGCTTTTAGGATATGACTTAAAATTATTATTTCTGAATTTTAAAATAAAAAAAATTGCTGTAAAGAGTGCATATGGTTTTTGTATGTACTATATTAATATCGTTAAAAGTAATTAGTGTAACGTGATTAAGGTCCGCAAATATGTAAGTTTTATTAAATTTAAATAATTTGATTTTAAGGTATACATTGTAGAAACAGTGATTTCTTCATTATTGTTATAAAGTGTTTAAATTGACTTTTCTGTCTACCAAAAATGTATTTTTACACTAACATTATCCTAAAATGCGTCTGCTTTTTTTCTTAAAGTATAGATTCATTATGACTGACTAATTTTTTTCAACATCCCCGCACCTATTTAAGTCGCCGGCTTCGTTTATAAGTTTAGTAAGTCTAGATCGTGTTATTTATGGTATCGTTCGAGCATTCCCTTCCGTCTGGGGCCTTGACTCTTTAATGGCTGTGAGGTTCGCACTGTCTCCGGTTATATCTTATGATAAACGATCGGCTTTTAGCATTTGACTTACTTGTTTCATATAGTATGTTCTTGTTATTTCTTAATATTAATTTTCTTTGAGTGTAAAGAATTTTTAATTTACATTTATTACATCTTCATGAGAAATAATGATACCTTGTGTATTGCGCAATGGTGTAGAAATAAAAAAATGTAATAATCGATTTGAAATTCTTTACCATCTCACTTTTCCTGAAATGAGAAACTCTACAGAACTTTAGGACATCAAACGCTGCGTTACCAGGTTTCTAATCGTATTAAAATCGATGATTTAAAATGTTACGGAAGCATCTTCAATATGTCGTCAAAGGCGCTCGAGTAGTTGCCGTTGTCGATAACGTCAATTTAGTCGCAAACATTGATTGTGTTAATATTGACAATGGCGCTGCCGTAGCGTCGCGCCGCACGTGCGTCTGTGGATGTTTTATATTCCGCGGTGAGGTCGACGAACACTTAATGAAGTGGGGCTTAACTTTGTATAGAGGTTCGAGGGTCGCAATGAGGGGATCGTGTGTGATTACGAGCCGCGGCAGTCAAACGCCCGCCTACACTATCTGATCTCTGATAAAAGACTCGACAAGCAAATGTAATTTTTTATGGTAATAGCCATATTTTTTAACAAAGGATTTCTTTTTTGCCGCTTCTTCTGTTTGGGCAATATTGACGTTGATTTAAGGAAAGAAAAAAATTAATTGTGGAGTCAAATTGCAACTTTTATGCCGCAGGTTTTGTTTCAATGCCATCTTTGATTATAATTTTTCAGCAACATTTAAAACTGTCAATAATAAATAATAATAATAATAATAAATTCGTTTATTTGAAAAATAAATACAAAAGTTTTAAACAGTTGTTGGAGCATCCTTTTAAGTAT